ATAAAAAACAATCTATGATTTGTTGATTGAAGTAAAATACAAAAAAAGGAGAAAGGATTTATTGAAGGAAAAATTTAACCAACAGTAAGAAAAGTTATTCTACTTAAAATTATATAATTGAAAAATATTAGGTTGGTGCAAAAATAATGACGTAATAATGTCGTTTTTTGACGTATTTTTTAACGTCAAAAAACGACATTCTTACGTCATTATTTTTGCACCTACCGAATATGTAAATCTAAAGATTTATGCTGAGAACATTAAGTATGTTTATGTTATTGTGGCAATAATTTTTAAATACCACTTAAGAAAAACTGAATAAGAATAATTTGAAATACTAAAAAAAAAAAAAGGAAATTTAGAAATAAAAATTATATATCCAAAAAATATTAAATTAATACACACAAAAATATTAAATGTACATTAAGGTTTGTAAATAAATAAATAAATGCTTAAATTTATTTGAAATTTTACTTAAAGCTAGCAAATAAAAAAATTCTAACCTGTGCTTCAATTTGTGTAAGCATCTGGGGTTGTGGTAAGGAGGCTGATCTTTTCTGTTGATCAGCAGGGTTTTCTGTAGAACAGGATTCTCTACTTGGTTGATTCATATGTGCATTTCTTATTTTATCAGCATGGGTTTTGCTCACAGCAGTTGGCCAAGATATTCCTTGCTTTGAAGGGCACATTAAATGTCTCTGGTCACTCATGTACCTGCCATTTGGCCCAACATTTGCACCAACCACATTTGGTGGGTTCATCGCATGGGCATAGGTTACATTTCTCTGGTCATTACATCGAATGATACATACTGATATAGAAGCAGTAATGATCACTGCTACTGTCACTGCTACAACCGTAATAATAATCACTGATGTAAGATCAACTTTATCTTCAGTTATCGTATGAATGGCACTTAGCATTTCTGTCTTGTTGCTTACAGTTAGTGTAAAAAACATACTAGTTGTTGCTGATAGAACTGGGCTACCACTATCCTTCACAACAAATACTAGCTCATATGAGCCAGCATCTTGTTGGCTAAGCACTCGATTGAAACTTAATAAACCAGTATACTGGTTCATGCTGAATATCTGCTTGTCATTGCCTCTGATTATTTCATATTTTAGAAATGCATTCTCTTGACTATCTCCATCAGCTGCCTTTAGATGTGTGATATTCTTTGAATGATGCCGGTAATATACAATATCCATGTTATAAGGATTAACACTGGGAAATGTAAAATATGGAGCATTATCATTTTTATCAGTCACTTCAACAATCACATTCACTGTATTATTCAGAGATGGTATTCCATTATCTTTCACAAATACTTGAAACTTATAAATGTTTTGAAACTCATGATCCAGTGACATAATAGCTGAAATCATGCCATCATCTTTGACTTTGAAAGGTAAAAATTGTTTATTATTGGTTAGCAGAGAATAAGTGAGTTTACCTCCAAGTCCCAAGTCTGGATCTGTTGCATTGATGAAACCAACAGAAAATCTGGATTTCTGATTCTCTTCAATGAAGAATTTAAATGTCTCCACAGAGAACTGTGGTCTTACATCATTAACATCGGTCACTTGGATAGAGAACTTATTCTTACTTTGCAATGGAGGAGATCCTTTATCTTGACAGCTGATGATAATTTCATGCTTTGCCTCTGTTTCTCTATCCAATGCTTTTTTCACAATTACTTGATATTTCTTTGTGTCTAGACTTTGCAGTTTAAATTTATCATAATGGAGATTGCAACTCACTTCTCCATTTTGTCCAACATCATGATCAGTCACTTTTACATAGGCAATTGAACTGCCAATTTCAATATCTTCAGAAACTGATGTTGAATCTTTTCCTGATGCTGATAGGAATTTTAAGTGAATAGCTGGAGGATTATTTTGTTCGTTGATTACATTTATAATAACCATTGCAAGTGAACTTAATGAAGGACTGCCTTTATCTTTGGCTTCTACATATATATTATGTGTCAGAACATTACCCAGTGTAAATTTTTTCTCTAAGAAAATCTGTCCAGTCTGTTGATTCAGTTTGAAATGATGTTTAGCAACATCAGATGTTTTTGTACTAAAATGATAAGTGACTCTTCCATTTTTACCAGAATCTAAATCGGTGGCTGATAAAGTTGCAACAGAAGAAGTTTCACTTGGATTATTTTTGATCGAAACATTGTAGACATTTTGGGAGAAAACTGGTGTATTATCATTGATATCTATCACAGAGATATGTACAAATAATATGGTTTTCTTTACAGGTGACCCTCCATCTTTGGCAATCACTTGTAACTTATAAGTGTCCCTAACTTCTCTGTCAAGCATTTTTTCCAATTCTATACTTAGATCAGATGTTCCATCCACTTTTTTAGCAACTGTCATTTTGAAAGGCTCATCTTTGTTTTTTTTCAATTCATAGGAAATGAGGGAATTCTCAAGTCCAAAATCTTTATCTTTCGCATTTGGAATCGACTTTCTTATTCCAACTCTGTCACCTTCAGAAAATTGAATATTAACTTGTTTGTCAAGGAATTCAGGTTGATGATCATTAACATCAATAATTATAACTTTGATTTCCAAAATTTTCATGATTCTTTTAGATTTCTGAACTGCAACATCAACCATCAAAAACATTCTTTTCCATATGTACACAGAGATTCAGCATCCAATGTTTGGGCTGTGTAGAGTTTTCCTGTCTTTTTAGAAATACGGAACAATGGAGAATTGCTTGCACCATCCTGTTCCATAAGACTGAATTTGATTAAATTGTGATCTTGGATTGCCACATCATCCATAACATTAGAGTCAGCAGCGATATCACCAAGGTAAGTTCCTGGACTTTTCCCTTCTTCTATTTTGAATGTTAGGTCTACACCTCGGCAATTGTGTATAAGAAACAGCAGAATACATATTTGACATTGCATATTTCTTCCCATCAAATGGAAATTCAATTCATACATCTTTTGAATTAAGAATTTTTTTCTTTCTGTATATTCAAAACCATTCACCTAACAAAAGGAAAAAAATATTAATGCATCTGGAACAAAAAACATGCCTTATTTTTATATACACCAGTTATAATATTTATGTTATAAATATATCTGTACTCATTGTCAAAAAAATTCCTTTAAATTTGTAATTCATTAAAAAGTTTAACTTTTATATTTTTACACATTTTAAATAAGAACAGAAATTCATTTAATATCTAGAACTTTCTAAATGAGGATGTAAATAAAAGATCAGATATTATTTTATTTCAAAATGTACGTTGGTTTGAAACAAAAACTGATGTGTTAATACTGACCCATATATTGTAATACCACAGCCATCTTTATTTAATAGTAGTAAACATTCCTCCTCATTTATGTTTCGGATTGGAATTTACATTCTCCTAAAGTAACTAATAAATTAATTAGTTTTTCTTGTATGTATAACATGTGGTTGAAAACAATATTAGAAATGAAAACAAAGGTTGCAATGTTTTATATAAATAAAGAAACACTTCTTTTATGAATAGACAATAAAAAATAGCATATAATATTAGAATAATCCTTATGACAAAGAAAAATGTAAGTATTTCATATCAAACAAAATTTCTCTGCTTCATTATAAAAATCTTCAAATTATTCTATCCATTAATCTAACAAAATAAATAAATAAAGCCATCATAATTATAAAAACAGATTAATCAACAGAGAATTTTTTGTTTTTGTATATTCAAAACCACTCACCTAAGAAAAGTTGGAACAATGAAAGGAGAACATTTTCAAAAATACTAACCTTTCATTTTTGCATCCACTGATGATTGTGTTGAGGTAAGATCTTAACCAGAAGTAAAATCCCCTGCTGCTGTTGTTTTGTATGAATATAATTCACAGTTCAGATGCTTTCTTTCTTTGATTGATGAAAGAAAGGAGTTTGCAGTCCTAGTGAGTGTGTTGTATGTGTGATGGCTGCTACTGTGAGTGATGACTGCTGTGCTTTGTGGAGAAAACAGAATGACTCCACCTATTACTTGATTTTTAAATAAGAATACATTAAATTGTTTACTTATAAAAAGAAGACAAATGATCTTGTGTTCATCTATAAAAAGGAATATAAATTTTAAAAAAACAAATTTTATTCCCAAAATTCCATTCTATAAATTACTATCTATCTGTAGAAATGATTTTTCTTTGTATCAAAGAAGACTGATGAGCAGGACAGCAAGTGTGTGTGTGCATGCATGTAAACATTTAAGGTGTTCATGGATTTCATTATAGAAAATAGTATTAATTCAAAATGATTTTGAAAAATTTGATTTCAAGAAAACATTATTTCTCATAAATTTTGACACAATTTATTCACAATTTTAAAAAAGTACAATATTTATTATTTTGATCATTACAAATTCAGTTCACTGAATATCATAGTTTAAAATTATTTTGTGAAAGACATCAAAATTGAAGAGAGTCTGATCTTCAAATAAAGACATAAGGACTTCATTTTCTTTTTATGGATACATTGTCATAATCACAATACATATAAAAAATTATTTTCTTTAAATAATTAATTTAAAAATGCTATTTACAATTTTTACCATTAAATAATACATTTTCTTTAAATTGATATTTTGTGATTTCCAAAAAAAGTCAGAGTTATTAATCATTCGTTCCGAATCCTATAAATTTATTTTGTGAATACACAGGAAATGGATCCTAACTTGCCATGTGTTCATTCCTACAAATAAATTTTACACACAAAATAACTACAGTTTCCTTAAAAACAGATACATTATGACATCAAATTACATTCAATTTAAATATTTATGTTTCATTGAACAGTTATTTAATCAAGTGAATTTGTTCCTTTTTTTATTAGCAGATATCAAATTTTACTTTGCACATTTACTACATCTTTATACATAATTAAGAATTATTTTTATGATATATGATGAAATCTTAATGAGGTATGATATGAAATATGATTTATGATGTTTCAAAAGAATTAGTGAGGAACAGGGGGTAAGGGTCTAGGGTTACGATAAATATTTCCTGCTGACTGCTGACTTATATCAGAAGAATTACTATCCTCTGTCACAGAGTCTTTGTTGTCCATATTTTGTGAAATGTTTGGTGTACAGAAACCTCTGGCCACAATAGTTGTATCACTTGGGTAGTTGACAGTCTGCCCCAGTGGCCTCATCTCTGTTTCTTGTGTTGGTTGCCCACTTTGTTTTGGTTGAGGGTTGCAATACTGGGAAATGTATACTTCTGGGATACAAAAATAAAGACATACCTAATTACATAATAACTATTAAAAATAGTTTTAAAATCCTAAAAGATAGATTAAAAATAATATACTGAATATTCTTCAAGCCCATACCAGTGCATAGGATCAATAAAAAAAAAAGATGAAACCATATGCATAATTATTTTTTCTTTCAAAGATTAAAAACTAAGTATGCAAATAAAAATAAATATAGTATTAAATTTTCTTTGTCTTCTTTGTATTATGTATGATTTGAAAAACAAATATTTTTTTATTCTCAATTATTTTACTATTTTCCTTTTTTCATAAAATAAAAATGTGATTCATAACTTTATCTTCAATGAAAATTCCTATGTTTTCAATAAAAAACATGAAAAATCATCAAAATTCATATTCAAATTTCAGCTGTTACTAAAACTGATTTAACAGAAACAGTTGATTAATGACATTTCTCATTGGTTTGCTAGAAGACAATATCTAGTAAAATAAATGAATGAATGAAAAAAAACTCAAAAAAAATCAGTATTTACTATAGATTAATTGATTTTAAAGGATAATTTAAATCTTCATTTTAAGATATTTGAATATCTAACATCTTTACAAAAGTTTAAATGTGAAATAAAACATTTTAAGAATACTGTCTATAACTTTGAAGAGAATAAATATAAGTGTTGTTCAGACTAATGAACTTATTTTTGTACTGCTTTTGTTGGTACTGTTTTTATTGATACATTCTACAATGTACAGTTTATAAGAAAAGTTTTTTTTTTTATTTCTGTAGAAAAGAAACCTTCCATTTTTGTTAAAGATTATAAATTTAAAGAACACTACAGAATGGATTATCTGAAATGTTGTGTTAACACCAAAAGTAAAATAAAGAATGAGTTCAATAGCCCAAACAGTTTTTAAGTATGCCTGGGAAATATTTTTAGTAGTTAAGTAAAATTTTCTAACAAGGTCCCAAAGAAAGAGTTAAAAGACACTTATACAATATAATTTAAGTTTAAAAAATCCTTTCAAACAATATTTTAAGAATAATTAAGTTTACCTGAATCATTACAAACAAATTTAAAAAAAAAAAAAAAACAAGAATAAAATTTACATACCTGTCGTTACTCCCTCAACTTGACCTTGAATGTCCCTTGCATTTTGTCCATTTTCATTGCGGGAAAGTTTTGGTGATTGTTGATTATGGTATTCAGAAGAACTGACACCATGTGATTTATTTGGAAGACTTATCTTTTCTTGGATGTGTCTCTGCTAATCACAGAAAAAGAATTTATTCCATTTTTCTAATATTATCAAATGAAATTAGCAAATATATTTTCTATATAAAATGTCCCTAAAGACAAAAGCAAACAAAGTATATGATAAAAAGAAACATAAAAAAATTACATAATATGATAAATTCCTAAAGAATAAAAAAAGCATACAAAATGATAAAAGGAAAAAGTACCATAAATTGGGAGAGAGAATGGAATATTTATATAAAAAAAGAAAAAATAATAAAAATAACAATTGTACAAAAAGAAATAGATAAATATATACAAAATTAAATTTTCATTTTGGTTTTGTAAGTTATTTTGATTTTCATAATTATTAGCAACATTCTTTTACTGTAAAGAAAAAAAAAAAAAAATGAAGAGAATCAACAATAAGTACTTACCTCAGATTCATTCATTGGTGATGCTTGCTGCTGAGGCAAAGAAGCTGATCTTTTCTGCTGATTGGTAAGCATTTCTGAAGAATTGGGTTGTCTGCTTGGTTGGTTTATAAGGGCACTTCTTATTTTGTCAGTATGTGTTTTATTTACACTGACAGCAGTTGGCCAAGATATTCCCTGCTTTGAAGGACACATCAAATGTCTCTGGTCACTCATGTACCTGCCACTTGGCCCAACATTTGCACCACCCACATTTGGTGGATTCATTGCATGGGCATAGGTTACATTTCTCTGGTCATTACATCGAATGATACATACTGATATAGAAGCAGTAATGATCACTGCTACTGTCACTGCTACAACCGTAATAATAATCACTGATGTAAGATCAACTTTATCTTCAGTTATCGTATGAATGGCACTTAGCATTTCTGTCTTGTTGCTTACAGTTAGTGTAAAAAACATACTAGTTGTTGCTGATAGAACTGGGCTACCACTATCCTTCACAACAAATACTAGCTCATACGAGCCAGCATCTTGTTGGCTAAGCACTCGATTGAAACTTAATAAACCAGTATACTGGTTCATGCTGAATATCTGCTTGTCATTGCCTCTGATTATTTCATATTTTAGAAATGCATTCTCTTGACTATCTCCATCAGCTGCCTTTAGAGACGTGATATTCTTTGAATGATGCCGGAAATATACAATATCCATGTTATAAGGATTAACACTGGGAAATGTAAAATATGGAGCATTATCATTTTTATCAGTCACTTCAACAATCACATTCACTGTATTATTTAGAGATGGTATTCCATTATCTTTCACAAATACTTGAAACTTATAAATGTTTTGAAACTCATGATCCAGTGACATAATAGCTGAAATCATGCCATCATCCTTGACTTTAAAAGGTAAAAATTGTTTATTATTGGTTAGCAGAGAATAAGTGAGTTTACTTCCAAGTCCCAAGTCTGGATCTGTTGCATTGATGAAACCAACAGAAAATCTGGATTTTTGATTCTCTTCAATGAAGAATTTAAATGTCTCCACAGAGAACTGTGGTCTTACATCATTGACATCGGTCACTTGGATAGAGAATTTATTCTTACTTTGCAATGGAGGAGATCCTTTATCTTGACAGCTGATGATAATTTCATGCTTTGCCTCTGTTTCTCTATCCAATGCTTTTTTCACAATTACTTGATATTTCTTTGTATCCAGACTTTGCAGTTTAAATTTATCATAATGGAGATCGCAACTCACTTCTCCATTTTGTCCGACATCATGATCAGTCACTTTTACATAAGCAATTGAACTGCCAACTTCAATATCTTCAGAAACTGATGTTGAGTCTTTACCTGATGCTGACAGGAATTTTAAGTGAATAGTGGGGGGATTGTTTTGTTGATTAATTACATTAACTTGTACCTTTGCTAAAGATTTTAATGGTGGAATATCTCCATCCTGAGCTTCAATATATAAATTGTATGTTATCATATTACTTAAAGTGAATTTCTTCTCTAAGAAAATTTGCCCAGTCTGTTCATTTAATTTGAAATGACTTTTAGCAATATCAGATGTTTTTGTACTAAAATGATAAGTGACTCTTCCATTTTTACCAGAATCTAAATCTGTTGCTGATAAAGTTGCAATTGAAGAAGTTTCACTTGGATTGTTTTTGATAGAAACATTGTAGACATTTTGAGAAAAGATGGGTATATTATCATTTATATCTGTCACTGAAACATGAACAAGTAAAATGCTTTGTTTAGATGGTGTCCCTCCATCTTTAGCAATTACTTTAATGAGGTATGAATCTTTTACTTCTCGATCAAGTCGCTCTTCTAGTGTAATGCTTAAGTCTGAAGTTCCATCAACCTTTTTGAAAATGAATAATGTAAAGGGTTCATCTTTGTTTTTACTCAGCTTGTAGGTTATTTTTGAATTAATTATTCCAACATCTTTGTCAATTGCATTTGGAATTGATACTTTCTTTCCGATTGCAGTATCTTCAGCAAATTCAATACTGATTTGTTTATCAGGAAATTCTGGCTGATGGTCATTCACATCTTGAATTATTACTTTGATTTCTAGTATTCTACTGATTGTATTTTCTCTTTGCACTGCAACATCAACCATCAAAAAACATTCTTTTTCATATATACATAAAGACTCAGCATCCAATGTTTGTGCTGTGTAGAGTTTTCCTGTTGTTTTAGAAATCCGAAATAATGGAGAGCTGCTTGTTCCATCCTGTTCCATAAGACTGAATGTGATTAGATTTTGATCTTGAATTGATACATCATCCATGACATTAGAATCAGCAGCAATGTCTCCCAGGTACGTACCTTGACTTTTCCCTTCTTCCACTTTGAAGACTAAATCTACACTCTGACAAATATGAAGAACTGAAAGCAACACACATATTTGTAGTGACATATTGCTTTGTAAATTTCAAATAATTTAAAGGATTATTTTCTTGGTTTTTTAGGGATCTGAAATATACAAAAATGAAAAATAATTATTATTTTTTACTTCTTTTCACTCTTTTTAACTTGATTTGAATACATTTATTAGATGATATTTATGGAAAAACATTGAAAGTATTAAAATAGTCAAGAGCTGGTAATTTCAGTTTTGAAACAGAAACAATATTCTAGCCATCTTGAAATATTTGACATTTCATTTCACTCTGTGTTTTATTATAGCAGCCATATTTGTTGATCTGACAGAATCTTATCCTCATAGCTCTTTAAAATTGATAAGTGCTACATATTATTATTATTAAGTTTGCAATATAAATTTTAGAAAAATATAGAAAGTAAATAATATGAACTTTGCAATTTTATATTTTTATTTCCTTTCTTATTTTAGGAATATTATAAAAATGTAATATTTTAAAATCTTTACATAATATACAGAATATATGAACATCTTTATATAATATACAGAAATTAATTCTTCAGCATGATAATAATAAAAGAGCTTTAATATAGTAATTTTTGATTGAGTTAAAACACACATCTTTCTGCCTTTGTCTAGCAATATCCAGGGACAAAAGAATAATAATACATGTTCATTTACTGGGTGCACTGAGGGTGGCTGAACAATTACAATTTGTAACAAGACTAAACAGAAGTAAAGAATTTTTGTTTACTTACATTTTGTTATTCACTCCAATGAATAGAGTTGAAAGTGAAGCTATGATTTCTGCATCTTTTGTTGTGAATATTATTATTCAGTAGAAGAATACATGCTTAATTTAGTTAAAGCGAGAAGGAAGGTAGCAATCCTAGTGAGTGTGTTTTGTGTATAATGGCTGCTACTGTAAATGATGACTGCTGTATTTCTTATAAATAGCTGTGAGGCTATCATTCTTTTGTATGTATTATTTTTATTTATTTTTAAACTCAAGTACTTTCAAATATGTATATTCATGAACAGATGAAAAAATACCTAAGTACTTTAAAAAAATTTTTTAAATAAATTTATTCCCAAAATCCTTTTCATCAATTCTGTTACTCATCCGTTAAGGCAGCCCACTTTTTTCTTTCTCTCAATCCCTTCAATAACAATGTCTCCAACTTTTAAATAACTTCTAATATTTAACCTTAACTGCATGTATATAAATGCTTTTAATAAAATTCTAATCAGGTAATTTTATATTGTCTGGTCTAGAAGTATTTTATATTCATATATATCAAAAACACTAATTATTTTAAATAAATCTTTATCATTGTGCAGTTTTATTGTTTAATTCATTCGTAATTTCATTACAGAATAACAAAATCTCTAACTTGTATTATAATTTTAAAAATACTTTTTCTTAAGAAATTAAGGTAAATACAACAAATTTCTATATATGAAATCATTTTATGATAGATATTTTAAGTACTACTTTATTTATACTACTTCTTCTATTTAAACAGAAAAGTGAAATTGCTTGAATAAATCAACTTTTGAAAATGCATCACATCATAAGGTAAGTAAAATTAATTTTGGAATATCTGTTGTCTTCTTTTGTGATGAATATATAGACAAGAACAATCCCACTAGCTAATTTGAAACAGAAGATAAAAATAGATTTTTTTTAAATTTTAGCTAAAAAATCATTTGAGAACAGAACAAGAAATAGTAAATTTTGTTAATAGCCAATATGTCAATGTTGATCATGTTAGATTCAGAATGTATCAGTTAAAATAAATTATTTCAAATTTTGCAAGGAAATGCTCAAGAAAAACCCTAAGAATATAAAAAAAAATCAATTTAATGAAAATTCTGATGAAAAAATATGAATATTAGAATACTTTTGATTCATTTTAATTTATATTTTGAAAAAAGAAATGAGTAAAGATTACAATATTAACAAATGCTGCTAGATTTTTTTCCATTTTTAAATTAGAATTTCAGTACCTATAATTATGTATTTTAATCAAAATATATATGAAAAATTTACTGGGGTACTGGGGGTAAGGGCCTTGGATTGCGATAAATATTTCCTGTAGATTGCTGACTTATATCAGAAGAGGTGCTATCTTCTGTCACAGAGTCTTTGTTGTCAGTATTTTGTGTGAGACTTGGTGTATAGAAGCCCCTGGCCACAATTGTTGTATCACTTGGGTAGTTGACAGTCTGTCCCAATGGCCTCATCTCTGTTTCTTGTGTTGGCTGCCCACTCTGTTTTGGTTGAGGGTTGCAGTACTGGGAGTTGTAAACCTCTAGGAAAGAGAAAATACAAACAAAAAAGCCATACAAATGTTACGGCTCTAATATATCTTATGTTCCTGAACATTATTAAAAAAAATAAATTTTATTACATATTTTTATTTGGAAACAGGATATAAAAATAATTTTTTATGTATTTTAACCAATAGTTTTGTTTAAAAGAAAGACGTTAACTGATTTTATGATAAATTTTCTTTATTTTTGCTTCTTGTAATCTTTGAGATTCTCTATATTTCCTGTCTGAATTTCTGAGATGAGGAGCCCAATATTCACAGTTGGAGTATTGTCCTCATCTTTGGCTGTTGTGCTCTTCAGCCTTCTTCGGGGTGCCTGTTGCCTTTTAATTTGAAATTCCTTGAAGGTTATGTGGATCAACAAATTCTGGAAAAATACTGGAAGGTACAACAGCCAAAACATTGTGATAATAATAAGACGATGAGAGCAATAGTCCAGATGTAAATAAAGATTTTCCATAATTTGCTTACTTATCATCTTAAGAATTTTTATATAAATATATTTAGTACAGTTAATATTTTAATAAGATAGTTTTTAAAAAATAATTCAACCCCTTTTTTATTATTACTATTATTAATCATTAAAAATTTAAAAAAAGAAAACTTCCATTTGTAAACTTTCTGAATGCTCCAAGGAAATAATTTTGATTATAACTGTAGAACATCCAACAGACTAAATTTCAAAACATATATTACATTCAGTTTAAGAACTGGCTATTAATCCATGAGCACATATGTTTGGTTGCAAGCTAATTTGGGTGTCGTTTCTTATAAGGAATAGAAGTTTAATATGAAAATGTATGTTTCTGTGTGCATTTTTAATATCTTCAGATAACTTAAACACTTCTATTTGTCATTTTAAACACTTTTAAAATATGATACAAAATGAAAATATTACTTAATATATTTCTATAAGAGTAATAATGTAGCAATTCACTTATAGACTGTGATGACCCATTACAGTTTATCAGTGTTAAAAATTAAATAAACCTAAACTAAATGGGTATTTTTATCATGAAAATTTTAAGAACTTTTTATTTGTATGTCTGTGTTGAAATTAAAACTTGTGTTTTTATGACTTACACTATTTACATGTGGACTGTTGTCCTCGTCTTTTCCATGGGACAATAACCTAGTGGATTAAAGTGTTGATTTGTGAATTTGGTGACATAGCAATTGTGAGTTCAATCCCTGGGCCAGGCAATGTGTATTTGGACTCAATGGAAATAGGGTGAGTAATAACTGAGCAGTACTAAAAATAAAAACTATACAAGATATCCCTAGATATTGGCAGTGAAACTAGAACAGTCTAGTAGTTTAAATAATGGGTTAAGTTCAGAATTCTCTGTAGGTTACCCAGATCAACATACGTCTGAAACATTGTGAAGGAAATAGGAGGAAAATAGTCCACATATAAATAGTGTAAATAATGGTAACTCCTTGTCCCAGAAATTCAGACAGAAATGATTTTATCTTCACTATTATTGCTGATAGCTGTTTGAATATGAAGGCTATTTATAGACATTCAATTTCTATAAATCTGAAAGATAAAATATTATGAAAATATTAAACTAATTATTTAAAAACGTGTCTTTTATCAGTTTATGCAAACTGTTTGTAACATGTAGTTCTGTTTAACTTATTATCTTGTAATAAATAAATTAAATTTGAATCTATTTTCAAAACAACCACATGAATGATGCTTTTTAAATGTAAGAATAAATCAATAAACCTGATACAGTTATTAGCATTGATTTGAAATTGTCACTGATTAATGTTCAATCGATGTGATTAATAATGAAGTGTTTGATTACATGCTTTGATAAGAAATTGAAAAGTAAATATTTGTTGTGTAAAATGAATGTTTTTTTTATTATTACATGTCGATGTATCATCATATAAATACATAAAGCATTTTTCTTTACTTCATATCACTGCTAAAATCTATTAATATTGAGAAATTCTTTTTATATCATCCATCTAAGCAAAATACGATTTACCTAAAGAAAGAATTTGTTACTCTTTCTCAAATAAGTTAAACATTTTGTCAGTTAGAAGAATTTATCCTGAAAAATTTTCAAATAGCTAAAGTAAAATGGGATGTGTGGCGTGATGTAATGGATAATGGCTTGGCATGAAAAATCAGAGAGCCACATTCCAGTTGTGTTTGTTACATTCACTTACTCACAAATACCCTTGGGAAAGATAGGAATTCATTTCTTTTACCCCCAGTTATGGGTTAAATAGCAGAACAGACTGGGTCCTATAGCCTTGGTTGGCAATCAGTCTACTGCAGAAAGAAACAGCAGCCTACTGTCAGAAAATCTTCTGCCTAGTCAGTCATGAATCGAAAGAGATATGATTACCCAAGCTTGGATTATATATGGTACTTAACTGACTGATGGAAAGTAAACTGACATATATTGTAGAAGTTATCAAAAAACTTGACAGAATTATAAAGATTCAGAATCTTGGAGTGTACAGGATATTTATTTTAAGCAACTTAACTGAATAATTTAAAACATTTACCACATTTGATGATATATGAATATACACACCCACAGTTTCTATTTAATATTGCAGTATTATAGTTAGGTTAGGTACAGATTTTGGTAGACTACAGTGGGTAAACAGCCTACCAGACACCTGAAGTTCACAGATAAGACGAGTGATACTTTTAGTCAGTTTTCCAGAAAAAAAAATGATTGCCACCATAAGTATTTTACTACAAATATTTAGTCTATCTGAAAAAAATATTCTTTATGCAAATATCCTACCACTATCCTTCACAACAAATACTAGCTCATATGAGCCAGCATCTTGTTAGCTAAGCATTCGATTGAAACTTAATAAACCAGTATACTGGTTCATGCTGAATATCTGCTTGTCATTGCCTCTGATTATTTCATATTTTTCATAATTGTCATTTGAAACTTTGTAAATTCAGAATAATTAGAAGATATATTATTTGTTAGTTACCTGTCATCACTTCTCCTTGGCTTGAGCTATCTTCATTTTTATGTTCATTTGCAGAGTGATGGAGCATTTTTGGAGACGATTGGTTATGATATTCAAGTGAGGTTACTGCTTGAGATTTATTTGTTGTATTAACTGGCAGACCAGGTTTCTCATTTAAGGATCTCTGCAGATAAAAGATCACATAAATTTATAAATCTGCTGTTCTCCTACATCATGACATGTAAAGAAAACAAAATACAATACTTCAAAAATGAATGTCAGGATATGAGAAAATTAAGAAATATAAATCTGAGAAACTAAGTAAAAAAAAAAAAGCTTACAACAATTGAACATGAATGGAAAATAATTGCATAATAAAATAAAATAATTGCATAATAAAATATTATGCAACATTAATAGGAAAAAGAATTCCACATAATAATAGAATGATATAATTTGTGAATATTGATAATATATAAATACAAATAAATATATACAAATAGGCTGAGAGGAAATTCCAAGCTTCAAACTGGAACAATTTTCAATTTTTATTATAAGTTAGGTACCTCCACGAAATCGCTAAAAAAAGAGCATAGCTTGATGAAAAAGACGCCAACCTTGCCGAAAACAAAATTTTATTGTCTAAATGCTTATGTTATTATTAAGAGGAAAGACCAAAGTTTTTTTTTTTAATTATTTTAAAAAAAATTTTCCTTCTTTTTAGAACATTCTAAATTTTGATTAAAAAACCTTGTTTCTATTTGTATCAGCGAACTAGTAAATAACATAGACAATTTTTAGCACGTTTTTTTGGTATGACACATATTAATTTGAAAAATCGGGCAAAAATAGAAATAATTATCAGATGTTAATGAAACTTTCAGAAACTATTCACAGATAATCGAATTTATTATAAATATGTTTTTTTACGAAAGTCATGGTAGAAATATTTTTAAAAAATATTTATTACCTCCCCATAACTAATTTTATGAAAACGCTAGAAATTCGATCGCATCGGTTTTAGTGATTACAATAATTAAAAGCACAGGGCTTTGAGGAATGCAAATCATGTTTTTTTTTTTTTTTTAATTGGATACGCAGTACCTGAAAAATCAGCTCTGAATTGTAACATACAAAACTCAATAAAACAAAGATATTATTTAATTTCAAATGCTTTTATTTGCTTTTAGTTGTTTTTATGAATATGGACAATATTTTCTGAAAGTAAAAAAATTTTTTCCATGAAAAATGAATTTTTAATACAATTATTTATTTCATTAATTATAATAGATTTTACATTTTAGTTGTTAAAATATAAAATTAGTTAAAAGCCGCATCGGCTTTCATAAGTGTCCTTATGAGATAGATCTTTTTTTAGCGCATTGTAAATTGTATCATTTTGACTAATCAGAAGATCCCCAGTAATTAAGAAATGTAATTTTGTGGTTATAATCGAGCTGTAATTATAAAATACGGAAGACCAACCAGAATATAATTAAGTTGCGTTATTTGAGTTAAGCATTGTTCTCCGCTGTTAAGGCCTTTTACTTTTATGAAACACGTGTGGAGAAGTTAATTTGATTTTTCAATTTCAACTGAGAAGGGTACCTACAAGTATCAGTATCATCTTATGAAATTTATATGATCTTATTTTTATATTAATCTCAGTTACGACATTTTTCCATAAATGAAATATCAAAATTAATAATAAAATGAATGCAAATACAAATAACAGTAGAATGTAATAAATGTACATAAAATTATAGTATTTTATGTACAATTCTGATAAAATTTCATAAGAAAGGTACCTATAAATTAATTAGATACCTTTCTTAAGAAATATGAAATTTAATGTCACTCTTAACAGTTTTATTTTAATTTCTTTTAGAATATATTTCCCATAAAGCATCATAAACGTAAAGGTGAAAGCTAAGTACAAAAAAAAAAAAAAAAAAAATTAGACCACTGAAAGTTTTCGTTAAAATAACGGGGTAAATAATTTGTTCACGTAAATGTAAATTATTTCACTTTTCTCCTTCCGTAGAACAAATTAGCCTCATGGAATTCGTAAATATATCATTCATCACATGTCAAGAGATGCGAAAGTTTATGACCTGCTTTGTTTTATTTTCAAATTACATCTTTTTGGCACAAAAGCTAAGTTAAGTTTGGTTCAAAATATTTTAAATAAACATTATAATTTCTGATTTTCTTAAAATAAGTTTTGAAAGAATGATAATTAATATTTAAAAAAATTTCAAAGTCAGATTTCCAGTTTTTTTTAAATGGAAAAAAATGGTCAATTTTGCTGACTCAAAAAAAACTAGATTTTTAACGAAAATTTCTGACATGCTAGGAACGATTAAAAAATGGAAAAAATACCCCAAAAATACTTTGACCTTTCCTCTTAATAATAACAAACATTTAGACGATAAAATTTTGTTTTCGTCAAGTTTGGCGTCTTTTTCATCATGCTATGCTCTTTTTTTAGCGATCTCGTGGAGGTACCTAAGTAAAGTGTCTTCATAGTGCCATACACCTTCAGCTTCAGGACTGGCACAAAAACATTACTGATAGCTTATAATACTGGACAATATGGTATATAAATGTACACAATACATAATAAAGAGGCAAACTAGAATTAACCAATTACAGAAAATATTATGAATAAACAATTAAGTGCATTATAATAAATTCATTTATGCAAAATGTACATAAAAAACAAACCTGAGAAAGTATCTGCAAAGTTGTTGATGATTGTGGAAGAGAAGCTGATCTTTGCTGCTGACTGGAAAGTTTTTCCACAGAATGGGATTCTCTGTTTGGTTGGTTTATATGTGCACTTCTTATTTTATCAGCTTGGGTTTTGCTTACAGCAGTTGGCCAAGATATTCCCTGCTTTGAAGGACACATTAAATGTCTCTGGTCACTCATGTACCTGCCACTTGGACCAATATTTGGTGTACCAACCACATTTGGTGGATTCATTGCATGGGCATAGGTAACATTTCTCTGGTCATTACATCGAATGATACATACTGATATAGAAGCAGTAATGATCACTGCTACCGTCACTGCTACAACCGTAATAATAATCACTGATGTAAGATCAACTTTATCTTCAGTTATCGTATGAATGGCACTTAGCATTTCTGTCTTGTTGCTTACAGTTAGTGTAAAAAAACATACTAGTTGTTGCTGATAGAACTGGGCTACCACTATCCTTCACAACAAATACTAGCTTATATGAGCCAGCATCTTGTTGGCTAAGCACTCGATTGAAACTTAATAAACCAGTATACTGGTTCATGCTGAATATCTGCTTGTCATTGCCTCTGATTATTTCATATTTTAGAAATGCATTCTCTTGACTATCTCCATCAGCTGCCTTTAGAGACGTGATATTCTTTTGAATGATGCCGGTAATATACAATATCCATGTTATAAGGATTAACACTGGGAAATGTAAAATATGGAGCATTATCATTTTTATCAGTCACTTCAACAATCACATTCACTGTATTATTCAGAGATGGTATTCCATTATCTTTCACAAATACTTGAAACTTATAAATGTTTTGAAACTCATGATCCAGTGACATAATAGCTGAAATCATGCCATCATCTTTGACTTTGAAAGGTAAAATTGTTTATTATTGGTTAGCAGAGAATAAGTGAGTTTACCTCCAAGTCCCAAGTCTGGATCTGTTGCATTGATGAAACCAACAGAAAATCTGGATTTTTGATTCTCTTCAATGAAGAATTTAAATGTCTCCACAGAGAACTGTGGTCTTACATCATTAACATCGGTCACTTGGATAGAGAACTTATTCTTACTTTGCAATGGAGGAGATCCTTTATCTTGACAGCTGATGATAATTTCATGCTTTGCCTCTGTTTCTCTATCCAATGCTTTTTTCACAATTACTTGATATTTCTTTGTATCCAGACTTTGCAGTTTAAATTTATCATAATGGAGATCGCAACTCACTTCTCCATTTTGTCCAACATCATGATCCGTCACTTTTACATAAGCAATTGAACTGCCAATTTCAATATCTTCAGAAACTGATGTTGAATCTTTTCCTGAAGCTGATAAAAATTTCAAGTGAATAGTAGGGGGATTATTTTGTTGGTTGATTACATTTACCAAAACCATAGCTAGTGAACTCAGTTGGGGCTTTCCTCCATCTTTTGCTTCAATGTACAAATTATGTGTCAGTATCTTACCTAATGTAAATTTTTTTTCTAAAAAGATCTGCCCAGTTTGTTCATTCAGTTTGAAGTGATTTTTTGCAATATCAGATGTTTTTGTACTGAAATGATAAGTAACTCTACCATTTTTGCCAGAATCTATATCGGTAGCTGATAAAGTTGCAATAGAAGAAGTTTCACTTGGATTATTTTTGATAGAAACATTGTAGACATTTTGTGAAAATATTGGAATGTTATCATTGATGTCTGCAACTGAAATATGCACATTCAAAATACTTTGTTTTGGTGGGGAACCTCCATCTTTAGCTACAACCTGAATCAAGTAAGAATCTTTTACTTCTCTATCAAGTCGTTCTTCAAGTGTAATGCTGAGATCAGAGGATCCATCTACTTTTTTATATTTGAATAAAGTAAAAGGTTCTACTTTAGTTTTCTTTAGTTGATAGGTTATTTTTGAGTTAATTGCTCCAACATCTTTGTCAACTGCATTGGGAATTAATATTTTTATTCCCACTACATCCCCCTCAGAAAACTCTATGTTAATATTCTTATTAGGAAATTCTGGTTGATGGTCATTTACATCTTGAATTAAAACTTTCACCTCTAATATCTTCATAATTCTTTTAGATTTCTGAACTGCAACATCAACCATTACAAAACATTCCTTGTTGAATGTACACAGAGATTCAGCATCCAATGTTTGTGCTGTGTAAAGTTTTCCTGTTGTTTTAGAAATCCGAAATAATGGAGAACTACTTGTTCCATCCTGTTCCATAAGACTAAATGTGATTAGATTTTGATCTTGGATTGCCACATCATCCATGACATTAGAATCAGCAGCAATGTCTCCCAGGTAAGTACCAGGACTTTTCCCTTCTTCTACTTTGAATGTCAAATCTACACCATGACTAATATGCAGATGTAACAGTAGGAAATATATTTGCAGTAGCATGGTTTCAGTAAAAAATTGAGAAGTTCTTAAATGATCTGAAATTTAAAAAAAAATTAATTACACACACACACAAATATATATATATATATATATATATAATTGTATTATTAGACATTTATAACTATTCTAAAAATAAGATGAATGAATAAATTAATTAGGACTAACATTTTAAATATTTTCTAAATATTTTTTAAAATCATTTCCAAAGTCAATATTTAAAATTAAAAATTATTCCTGAAATTTTTAGATAATTTATTTTTTTACTGATAAACTAAAACAATTGAAATACTTTTGATAAATAATACAACTTTCATGGCAGCCATTTTTGTTCATTTCATAATATGAAAATATTATTTTCTCAAGGAATTTCAATTAAAATATTTTACTTTTACTCATTTCATAAAACTGATATAATTTTTAGTCAAAATTCTTAAATAGATGATAGAAATAATACTGGAAATCAAAGATGTAAATTTAAAACTATATCATATCAGATTTATTTTTATAAGATAGTGTTACATGTTTAATGGTCAACATTAAAAAAAAATCAAATATTTTGCAAAATGTTTCTACAAAATATCTTTATGTATTTTAATGATGATTATTCAATTATATAAAAATCATTATGAAATATAGTCTCATAAGAATTCCAACCATTCATATTTATACATTTATTTTATAGTTACAGATACAATGAATACAAGCACAATATTTTTGAATCGCTCTCTTCAGCAAACATAAGAATACATAGCTAGAAATCTTTCAATTTTACTTACCTTCATAATTTTTCAGTTAAATGGAAGACATAAATGAAAGTATTTCTGCTTCTACAGATGTTGAATTGCAAAAATTAGTTTGACATTAAATTGGGCTACAGTTTTTGCTTAGCTTAATGCGAGAAAAAATCCAGCAGTCCTAGTGAGTGTGTTGAGTGTACAATGGCTATAACAATAAATAATGGCTGCTTTCCTTCTTATACAAAAGGAGGCTATGATGCTAAGCTTTATTTTATAAAAAAATTATATTTTTTAATAGAGTAATTTTAAATATTTATTTGTATTAAAATAGAAATAGTAATTGATGTATTCATGAAAAAATTCAAATTAAAAAAAAAAATTGGTTTCTCCCAAAATGCATTTTACTGGTTTCTCTCTTAATCTATTACTCCTTTCTTCTCTTTTTAAACAATAACAAATTTTATTTATTGTTCATTTCAGCTGTAGCTCTCCTTGAAAGGTGTAGTATTTTAAAATATAACTTTTTATCTCTTTGGTAGTTCAAACTTATTTATTTATGAGAGTTTCATTTAAAATTATATTTTGAAGATAATTTTTTTTTAATTTATGATCTACAAGCAATTGTATTATGAGATTTGAACAAACTTTTCTGTATGATCAGGAATGACTGCCATTAAACATCATATTGATCAGTATTTATATTAGAGAATTTTTTTAAACTTGGTCTTTATAATTGAAAATATTACTATAAATATGCTGTACTAAAACAAAACAAAACAAAAATTCTTTCTAATGCTTCATGACTTTTTATATTTAAAATTATTTTTATTTAAAAAAAAAAAAAAACACATTTTATATCCTTTATAAAAACTGGCAAAGTTACATTTGGAAATAAACAGTGATTGAAATGATGACATTAATTATTGTAGATCACTAAGTAGTCCTGTTCTGTGTTGTAATTTAATTTCATGAAGTAAGAAGTTACTCTCTAATAAAAAATAATGAATATTAATAGCTTAAGAGACTATTCTAGTGAGGTACAGGAGGCAAAGGCCGAGGATTACGATAAATATTTCCTGTTGATTGCTGACTTATATCAGAAGAATTACTATCCTCTGTTACAGAGTCTTTGTTGTCTGTATTTTGTATAAGGCTTGGTGTGTAGAAGCCCCTAGCCACAATTGTAGTATCACTTGGGTAGTTGACTGTCTGCCCCAGGGGTCTCATCTCTGTTTCTTGTCCTGGCTGCCCACTCTGCTTTGGTTGAGGATTGCAGTATTGAGTAGTGTACACATCTGGTAAAAAGTTGATTGAAATGGTGAGCTGTATTCTCATGATTATCTTATCACAAGCAGATATATAAGAAAATATATAAAGTATTTTTTAATATTTTTTTTTTTTTTAACCAGAAGAACATTTTTCATTTGGTTACAATCATAACTGAATTTAATACTCAAACTAAATTTAGAATTTAACTTAATTTACATTACTTTAAAACTGGTTTCACAATTAATTTTTCTTTCTATCAGATGATGGTTAATGTTTTCAACCAGTATGACTATTAATGTTACTAACCTTGATTTTTTTCTTCACTCTGTTCTGTGTTTGTTTCAGTTCTATTTTGCTCACTGTTAATGCAGGATACTTTCGGTGAGGGATGGTTGAGGTATTCTGAAGAACTGACTTGATGTGGTTTAATTTGGGGGCTATTTGGGAGGATGACATCATCTTGGGTATGTCTCTGTTTTCAAACATAAGGACATATGATATTAAAGACCTTAAACAATTAGTTTGTGAACAAAATAAAATGCAAAAAAATTTAGCTTATTCTTCACAACTGTTAAAAATAAATTGATGAGAGTATCACTTGATGTTCCATTGATTTCAACAATGCAAAATTTGCTTTATATTTTGCACTACATCATTATCAAGTTTTCTCTTTAGTATTGATGTATTTTTCAAAAAATCTGAAATTAATAAGAATATAATATTTAAGTTAAGCACATATCTAATCTAAGTTCCATGTTCAGTGAGTAGTATAAGTTATCACAAATAGAAGTTTAAGAACCATTTCTGTTAGATTAAACAGTGGCACACAAAATTCCTGGATCATATTGCTCTCCTGGTGATCCCAGGTGTTCTCAATTCCATCCTCATTTTGAACTGTTATCTAGTAATCATTTCACCATTACATATATAACTGAAATTTTTCCACTGTTCCTTAGATGCAAAATTTTTTCACCAAAAGCCAAGTGGACCCTGTTTTCAGAATCTCAGATATAAAAAAAATAATAATAATATTCAGGAAAATCAGCAAGTTTAGAAGTGCTTTTTTCTTTTTGAATAAATATAAAAGCTTTTTAAAAATATTCATCATTCTGAGAATGTTAAGTATTATTTTCATAACAATGATCTTTGTATTAGAATTTTTATATTATGAGAATAATGAAATGTATATTGATGTTTCAGAAAAAGACCAGTAAAAATTTAGAAAATAAAGTTATATTTCTGAAGAAAGATTAAAGTGTACAGCAAGATAAACCAACACAAAAATTACAACTTGTGTACAATATTTTTGAGGAATTATTAATTAAAAAATTACCATTATATTAAATAAAAAGTGGAATTTTCTTACCTGTGGTTGTCTCACTGAAGTTAGCTGAGCTTGTGGAAGAGAAGCTGATCTTTTCTGCTGATTGGGAAGCTTTTCTGCAGAATGCGATTCTCTGCTTGGTTGGTTTATATGTGCATTTCTTATTTTATCAGCATGTGTTTTGCTCATAGCAGTTGGCCAAGATATTCCCTGCTTTGAAGGGCACATTAAATGTCTCTGGTCACTCATGTACCTCCCACTTGGACCAACATTTGCACCACCTACATTTGGTGGATTCAATGCATGGGCATAGGTTACATTTCTCTGGTCATTACATCGAATGATACATACTGATATAGAAGCAGTAATGATCACTGCTACTGTCACTGCTACAACCGTAATAATAATCACTGATGTAAGATCAACTTTATCTTCAGTTATCGTATGAATGGCACTTAGCATTTCTGTCTTGTTGCTTACAGTTAGTGTAAAAAACATACTAGTTGTTGCTGATAGAACTGGGCTACCACTATCCTTCACAACAAATACTAGCTCATATGAGCCAGCATCTTGTTGGCTAAGCACTCGATTGAAACTTAATAAACCAGTATACTGGTTCATGCTGAATATCTGCTTGTCATTGCCTCTGATTATTTCATATTTAAGAAAGGCATTCTCTTGACTATCTCCATCAGCTGCCTTTAGATGCGTGATATTCTTTGAATGATGCCGGTAATATACAATATCCATGTTATAAGGATTAACACTGGGAAATGTAAAATATGGAGCATTATCATTTTTATCAGTCACTTCAACAATCACATTCACTGTATTATTCAGAGATGGTATTCCATTATCTTTCACAAATACTTGAAACTTATAAATGTTTTGAAACTCATGATCCAGTGACATAATTGCTGAAATCATGCCATCATCTTTCACTTTGAATGGTAAAAATTGTTTATTATTGGTTAGCAGAGAATAAGTGAGTTTACCTCCAAGTCCCAAGTCTGGATCTGTTGCATTGATGAAGCCAACAGAAAATCTGGATTTTGATTCTCTTCAATGAAGAATTTAAATGTCTCCACAGAGAACTGTGGTCTTACATCATTGACATCGGTCACTTGGATAGAGAACTTATTCTTACTTTGCAATGGAGGAGATCCTTTATCTTGACAGCTGATGATAATTTCATGCTTTGCCTCTGTTTCTCTATCCAATGCTTTTTTCACAATTACTTGATATTTCTTTGTATCCAAAATTTGCAGTTTAAATTTATCATAATGGAGATCGCAACTCACTTCTCCATTTTGTCCAACATCATGATCAGTCACTTTTACATAGGCAATTGAACTGCCAACTTTAATTCCTTCAGAAACTGATGTTGAATCTTTTCCTGAGGCAGACAAGAATTTTAAATGAATTGTTGGTGGATTATTTTGTTGATTGATTACATTTACCAGAACCATAGCAAGGGAACTTAATGATGGACTACCTCCATCTTTTGCTTCAACATATAAATTATGTGTTAATATATTATTTAAAGTGAATTTTTTCTCTAAGAAAATTTGTCCAGTCTGTTCATTTAATTTGAAATGACTTTTAGCAACATCTGATGTTTTTGTACTAAAATGATAAGTGACTCTTCCATTCTTACCAGAATCTAAATCTGTAGCAGATAAAGTTGCAATGGAAGAAGTTTCACTTGGATTGTTTTTGATAGAAACATTGTAGACATTTTGAGAAAAGATGGGTATATTATCATTTATATCTGTCACTGAAACATGAACAAGTAAAATGCTTTGTTTAGATGGTGTCCCTCCATCTTTAGCAATTACTTTAATGAGGTATGAATCTTTTACTTCTCGATCAAGTCGCTCTTCTAGTGTAATGCTTAAGTCTGAAGTTCCATCAACCTTTTTGAAAATGAATAATGTAAAGGGTTCATCTTTGTTTTTACTCAGCTTGTAGGTTATTTTTGAATTAATTATTCCAACATCTTTGTCAATTGCATTTGGGATTGAAATTCTTGTTCCAGGTACAACATCTTCAGAAAATTTAATATTAACTTTTTTATCTGGAAATTCTGGCTGATGATCATTTACATCTAATATTATAACTTTCACTTCTAATATCTTATTAATTGTCCCGTCTCTTTGGACGGCAACATCAACCATTAAGAAACATTCCTTTTTAAATATACATAGTGACTCAGCATCCAATGTTTGGGCTGTGTAGAGTTTTCCTGTTGTTTTAGAAATCCGAAATAATGGAGAGCTGCTTGTTCCATCCTGTTCCATAAGACTGAATGTGATTAGATTTTGATCTTGGATTGATACATCATCCATGACATTAGAATCAGCAGCAATGTCGCCAAGGTATGTGCCAGGACTTTTCCCTTCTTCCACTTTGAATGTCAGATCTACACTTATGGCAAAGTGTAGAATTGAAAAAAGAAGATATATTGCAAAATCCATTTTTTTTGCCTCTGTTCTAATTTTACCTATTCCTGGGAATTCATTTTCATTTCTTCTGAAAAGCAAAAACAGAAATTAATTCTGTTTCCAGAATTTGAGAAAATCGTGTCAAATTTTTATTTTTAATAAATAATAAATTTTGGCCCAAGCATTTAGTTAATTAGGATTTATTTTAGAGAAATGTGATACTTTTTTGAATGTAAAACAAATATATTGGATCCATATATCATATCAGTACTATCATCATTATGAACTTGTCATATTAATTCAAATTAGTTATTATAGAGAATTTCTTTTATTTTTTTATTGGTTTCTGTATGATATTAATTAAAATGGAATATTTACTATTTTGTAGATAAAAAAGACAACATAATTTATCTAAAAGTCATAATCTAAAGAGTCTTATAATATAACAAAGTGTTTTAGTAAAAATAAAAACTGCACAAAGAGAAACAATGTCTATTCTTTGTCCGTACATGTATGCCTAGCACAGTTGTGAAAAATATGAAAATAGAAAAATTATCAAAAACTCACTTACCTTTATCCTGAAGAATATCTTCAGACTGAATTAATATCCTTCTTAAATTCTTTTTGTTATTGATAAAAATCCCATGGAAATATTGCTTTTTCTGTAAATGTTTTATTTGTTTAATGTGAGAATGAATGCAATACTCTCTGCATGTGTGTTGTGTGTGTAATGGCTGCCACAATGTGATGACTGCTACACATCCCTTGTAACAATTATCTCAAATTTGAGGAAAGAATTTTAATTTTATAATACCTTTAAAAAATTTAAATATACATGTAAGTTAAAAATATATTCATTAAAATGACAATTTATAAAAAGAAAAATGAACTCAGAAAAAAAAAATATCTTCCCAAAGTGCAATTTGCTTGTTAATATGTGTATTTTGCATTGTGATTTTCTTTCTTCTTTCCATCAGTTTGAAACCACAATGGCTTTTCATATAAAACTAGAGCCCTACACCAAATTAGACATCAACCTCAGTGTACAATTTAAAGAGAGTTGACTCTGATGTCTTTTTATAGCAGAGAAAATATTATTGTAAACATGTGTTGTGAGAGATATATTTTATGAAGAGTATATGATTTTATTTTAAAGACAATATTTTTCCTTTGATAAATGTCTTGAATTTATTTAATTTTATCTAAAAACCACAGTTATTTTCTTAAGTTACTTTAAAAACATATTTTCATTTACACACATTAGGTTATGCCTATTTATTTATTTTGGAGATTATTTTCAGTAGCTATCTTTCATAAGTATCTAAAGTAAAATATATATATATATATATATATATTTTTTTTGTTGTTAGAACCAGATGATCCAGATGTGAAAAGATTTTTTCCTGTGACTGGATGAAAGAAAGCAATTTTCAGTAAGACTTGTTAATTTACTCATTAAATTCTGTGTATCTGTGTAGAATTTAAATTTTTTCTTTAAATTTTAAAACAATTTAATCTTATTGCTGATTATGTTGATCCTTCAGTATTACTTATTAATTATAGATAATTCTTTTTGAAAAATATGAAAAATGTATTTATATTATTATTCTTGGAGTAATTTATAAAAAAAGTTGAAAGATGATTAAATTAAGTGAATTGTTGTATTATTATTTGATTTGTATTTATGATGTAAAGAAAATTTAAGCAATTATATTGAATACCAATACAATGCGCTTAGTACAGTCTAGTGAGGTACTGGAGGCAAGGGTCTTGGATTTCGATAAATATTTCCTGTAGATTGCTGACTTATATCAGAAGAATTACTATCTTCTGTCATAGAGTCTTTGTGGTCAGTATTTTGTGCAAGGCTTGGTGTATAGAAACCCCTAGCAACAATTGTTGTATCACTTGGGTAGTTGACAGTCTGTCCCAATGGCCTCATCTCTGTTTCTTGTGCTGATTCTTCACTCTGTTTTGGTTGAGGGTTACAATATTGGGAAGCAGCCATATCTAAAATAAAAGGTTGATTGGTAAAAAAAATGTATTGAGATCATAGATTACTTTTGGAGTTTGAAGATATAACAAAATATACAGACTAATTTTATTACAACAATCAGAGGCAAGAAATATTGCATTTTAATTACTTTTATTGTTCAGGTTATTTGTATTTTTCTTATTTCTTTTTAATCACACTTTTATAAAAAGATACAGATGATTTATGAACAGTTTTAAAGTCTTTTCTTAGGAAATAAAATAAGCTAAACAAGGTGAATTTTTATTTTTATGAAGAATAATCAGTAGAAATTTTATGACTATTCATCTTACTTCATTAAAATGTCTTATTACCAAAAACATGTTTAAATATTTTTCTGACTAAAATAACCAAAATTACTGATGTCCCTGACCTTCATTTTTTTCTCTTTGATCTGTGCTTTGTTCAGTTCTACTATATCCATTACCAGTATGGGAAAGTTTTGGTGAAGGTTGGTTGTGATATTCAGAACTGACTTGGTAAGGTTTATTTTTGGGACTACTTGAAAGTATTATTTCATCTTGAACATGTGCCTGTTGATGATAGAATACATTAAAACATGACAAAATCTACAAAAAAAGTATAATCAATACTTACAAACAATTAAAAATAACAATGAATATAATTGGCATTTAAAGTACAATTCAAAGCTCTTTTATTCAAAATTCAATTGCAGAATATAATTGAAATTCCTAAGAATTATAATTATTTTTAAACATTTAAGATGCAGAATAACAGGCATAGAAACATACATCATCACAGAAGATTGGTGAAAAAAATATGTGCACAGACACATGTTTATTTCACTCCATTTCAAATAAACAGCAGGTGAAATATACATTTTAACGTCTTTCCATTAAACCCATAAAATAGTGAAGCATTTTACATAATTTAAAAAGAACTGGTTCAAAAGTAAACTGATATGGTAAAATATTATTAATTGCAAAATAATTAAAAACATATTATGATAGAAATTATATTTAAAAATAATTTTAGCATGAAGAGTATATTTAACCTCCAAGAATATAATGAGAAACTATTTACAATATATATTTTATTCTAGATTTTATATTATAATTACACAAGAATTTTTTTTAATCATTTCATCCCAAGCAAGGTGATGATGTCAAGAGAGCAGACAATAAAAGACTAGGTTTCAGAAGATGGAGATTTATGTTGTATTCAAATTGTTGAAGATTGTAGTTGACAGGAAAGCAAGAAGCCTGAAGAGAGTTCTACAGACAAGTGTGAGAGAAGGAACTATTAGAATAGAACTTACATCTGGCTATTTCAGCAGTAAAATGATGAGACCTAGTTGCCAATCTAGTACAACACTTAAATTTCTGTTGAGGTACCAATGAAGAAAGCAATTGCCATGAAAATATTGAATGAAAGAACACAGAGAAGCTATGTTACATTTGTGGGAAAGATGCCTGGAGATGACCAATAATATTATAGACCCTTCTTTGGATTTTGTCAAGAATTTTTGGATATATAGTAGAAGCTTCTGACCAGACATGGCAGCATTATTCAATACATGGATGAGTAAAAGTACAAATAAGGTTAGAGAAATACACTCAGAAAACATGTACAAATTTCAATATAAGTTCTGTGATATTCATACTAAGATGTGAATGAAAATAAATATCCTATGTCAAAGTATTTGAAAAAAATGCAATGAATACAAATGTTATTGATATATTTAATTAGAAATCAGCTAAAAAGGTATTTATTTCATGAAAATTTTCAAAGATTATAACATACAGTCAAAGAAAGAGAAGAAAGAAAAAATACTATTTACCTGTGCTTGTACAAGTGAAGGTGACTCAGCTGGTAAAGGAAAATCTGTCCTTTTCTGCTGATTGGGAAGCTTTTCTGCAGAATGGGAGGATCTGCTTGGTTGGTTTATATGTGCACTTCTTATTTTATCAGCATGGGTTTTGCTCACAGCAGTTGGCCAAGATATTCCTTGCTTTGAAGGGCACATTAAATGTCTCTGGTCACTCATGTACCTGCCATTTGGCCCAACATTTGTAACACCCACATTTGGTGGATTCATCGCATGGGCATAGGTTACATTTCTTTGGTCATTACATCGAATGATACATACTGATATAGAAGCAGTAATGATCACTGCTACTGTCACTGCTACAACCGTAATAATAATCACTGATGTAAGATCAACTTTATCTTCAGTTATCGTATGAATGGCACTTAGCATTTCTGTCTTGTTGCTTACAGTTAGTGTAAAAAACATACTAGTTGTTGCTGATAGAACTGGGCTACCACTATCCTTCACAACAAATACTAGCTCATATGAGCCAGCATCTTGTTGGCTAAGCACTCGATTGAAACTTAATAAACCAGTATACTGGTTCATGCTGAATATCTGCTTGTCATTGCCCCTGATTATTTCATATTTTAGAAATGCATTCTCTTGACTATCTCCATCAGCTGCCTTTAGATGTGTGATATTCTTTGAATGATGCCGGAAATATACAATATCCATGTTATAAGGATTAACACTGGGAAATGTAAAATATGGAGCATTATCATTTTTATCAGTCACTTCAACAATCACATTCACTGTATTATTCAGAGATGGTATTCCATTATCTTTCACAAATACTTGAAACTTATAAATGTTTTGAAACTCATGATCCAATGACATAATAGCTGAAATCATGCCATCATCTTTGACTTTGAAAGGTAAAAATTGTTTATTATTGGTTAGCAGAGAATAAGTGAGTTTACCTCCAAGTCCCAAGTCTGGATCTGTTGCATTGATGAAACCAACAGAAAATCTGGATTTTTGATTCTCTTCAATGAAGAATTTAAATGTCTCCACAGAGAACTGTGGTCTTACATCATTGACATCGGTCACTTGGATAGAGAACTTATTCTTACTTTGCAATGGAGGAGATCCTTTATCTTGACAGCTGATGATAATTTCATGCTTTGCCTCTGTTTCTCTATCCAATGCTTTTTTCACAATTACTTGATATTTCTTTGTATCCAGACTTTGCAGTTTGAATTTATCATAATGGAGATCGCAACTCACTTCTCCATTTTGTCCAACATCATGATCAGTCACTTTTACATAAGCAATTGAACTGCCAACTTTGATTCCTTCAGAAACTGATGTTGAATCTTTTCCTGATGCCGATAGGAATTTTAAGTGAATAGTTGGGGGATTATTTTCTTGATTTATAACATTAACAACAACCATTGCAAGAGATTCCAGAGGTGGATTTCCACCATCTTTTGCCTCAACATATATATTATATGTATGTATATTACTTGATGTAAATTTTTTTTCTAAGAAAATTTGCCCAGTCTGTTCATTTAATTTAAAATGACTTTTTGCAGCATCAGATGTTTTTGTACTAAAATGATAAGTGACTCTTCCATTTTTACCAGAATCTAAATCTGTTGCTGATAAAGTTGCAATTGAAGAAGTTTCACTTGGATTGTTTTTGATAGAAACATTGTAGACATTTTGAGAAAAGATGGGTATATTATCATTTATATCTGTCACTGAAACATGAACAAGTAAAATGCTTTGTTTAGATGGTGTCCCTCCATCTTTAGCAATTACTTTAATGAGGTATGAATCTTTTACTTCTCGATCAAGTCGCTCTTCTAGTGTAATGCTTAAGTCTGAAGTTCCATCTACCTTTTTGAAAATGAATAATGTAAAGGGTTCATCTTTGTTTTTGTTCAGTTTGTATGTTATTTTTGAATTAATTATTCCAACATCTTTGTCAATTGCATTTGGAATTGATACTTTATTTCCTATAGCAGTATCTTCAGCAAATTCAATACTGATTTGTTTATCAGGAAATTCAGGCTGGTGGTCATTCACATCCTGAATTATTACTTTGATTTCCAATATTCTACTTATTGTACTTTCTCTTTGCACTGCAACATCAACCATTAAAAAACATTCCTTGTTGAATGTACACAGAGATTCAGCATCCAATGTTTGTGCTGTGTAGAGTTTTCCTGTCTTTTTAGAAATACGGAATAATGGAGAATTACTTGTTCCATCCTGTTCCATAAGACTAAATGTGATTAGATTTTGATCTTGGATTGCAACATCATCCATGACATTAGAATCAGCAGCAATATCCCCCAGGTAAGTGCCAGGACTTTTCCCTTCCTCTACTCTCAGTGTAAGATCTATAGTCCAACAAATTTGGATTAGACACAAGAGGTAAGATGTGCGTAACATCATATTTTTCATTAGAAATATAAATAGTCTCAAATTTCAAATTATCTGAAAAATAAAAAATACGATTTATAATATAATTATATATACTAAAACATATTAATTTAAATTAATATTTCTATTAAAATAATTTTGTGTATCATTTTAAAATGCTTACTATATTGTAGCTCTCATTTTTTTTTTTTGCAAAATAAATTTTAATATTTTACTTATTTCTTAAGAAATAAAAAATGCTATCTTATGATGATATGATTACATTTTAATTTTTCTCATAACCTTTGTTACAAAATTTTTTGCACTTGAATAAAAATATAAAATGCAAGTTAATTACATTTTTCATTATTCTTTATATCAAGATGTCTTTTGATTTTAAATCTATTAGTATTTTTTAAGCTAAATAAAAGCATTTCTATTTGTTACTAAATATTTCATGGACACAATCTTTATGACAAATCCTAAGATAAAAAAGAAAAAATTCTAGAGTTGATCCAAATATGCAGAAACAAAGGGTCATTTTTTTTCTATTTCCTTATGCCTACATTCATGTTCGTTACATTGTGAAAAATATAACATATGAAAAAGAGGAATATAAAATCTTACCTTTCTTATAAAATCCACTGTAAATTTAAATTCAGAGGGTATTTACATCCTTATTTCCTTAAATTCAGAGGGTATTTATATCCTTTTGTTATTCTGAATGAATATTATTTCCCTAGCTGATGAGGAAAATAATGCAGCACTCCTAGTGAGTGTGTAATGTGTGTAATGGCTGCTAGTCTTTGTGCTAAGCTTAAATTTTTCTCACTGCATCTCACATATATTTTGCGTTTCATTTTTTAAAATAAAAACATGCTTATGTACATACATTGTTATAAATACAAATATTGATATAACTGTTAACAAATAAAATCATAATTTTAAAAGTTATATTCACAAATCTTTACTATTATTTACATTACTCATCTAGAGAATTTGTTTTCTTTCTTTTTTCTTCTTCTTTCCATCTCTGCTGATTTAAGGAAACCTCTCCAGCCAATCAAAATTAAACCACAGTATAAAACTATGAACACTACTGACAGATCCAAGTTGTATGATTACATAAGCTGATGTAATTTTATAATGTAAAGGATACTAAAAAACAGATAAAATCAATTTTCATAAAAATATATCATTTGTTTTAAATTTAAACACTGTGTTTTATAGCTTTTTACACAAATTAATTATTACTTATTTGGGAGTATAAAGAAAATGACTAACTTTTTTTTAAAATGCCTGATATAAATTTTTGTTTAATTAAAAAATAAATTAGAAAAAATTATTAATACTACGTTTTGAAAAAAATTTATAAATATACTTCATTAAATTTTGTGTTCAAATTTTATTACCAATGAAATTCATTGGAATAAGTACACAATAAAAATTTATTTAAATGTATTTTTTGGTTATCCTCAGACTATGATAGTGCAGGGGTTAAATCTAATCTACAAAATATTATTTGGGAACAGGAGGTAAAGGCCTAGGATTGTGATAAATATTTCCAGCTGACTGCTGGCTTATATCAGAAGAATTACTATTCTCTGTCACAGAGTCTTTGTTGTCCATATTCTGTGTAATATTTGGTGCGTAAAAGCCCCTAGCCACAATTGTTGTATCACTTGGGTAGTTGACAGTCTGTCCTAATGGCCTCATCTCTGTTTCTTGTGTTATCTGCCCACTCTCTTTAGGATGAGGATTGCAGTATTGAGTAGTATACACCTCTGGAAAAGATATAGAGAGGCAGTAGGTAAGACTTTTATTTTTATATTATTACACATAAAAAATAATCAGATAGTTCATTTTTCCAAGTAAAAGAGGATTTATCTGTGCCTCATGTTACTTTTATTACTAAACTTATCTTTATTTTAGTACTTATTTGTAAGACAAATGATAATGAAAAAGATTTTTTAAAATATTGCTAATAATAAAAAAAATATAATTTAAAATCTGTATAATCTTGATAAACATGATCTAATTCTAGTATTTGAATGAATTGCTAACTGGATCCAAATAGTATTAGCATGACAAATTTGATGATGGGTTTCAAAGATCTGATTACATTTTTCCCAAAACAAAATGAAAATCTTATTCCAGTGAATTTAAAAAAAAAAAAAAAAGAAAATGAAATAAGCATTACATAAAAAGGTAAGCATTTACAATTCTAATAATCAAATAGAATAAAAAGTATTAATTTGATTTACCTGCCACTTGTTCCGTCTCTTCTGGATTTCTTTTATGCTTGTTCTGTCCATTATCTACTTGTGAAAGTTTAGATAATGACTCATTGTTATATTCAGGAGAGCTGACTTGATAAGACTTATTTTGGGGACTATTTGGCAGCCTTATATTTTCTTCAGTATTGCTTTGCTGAAATTTTGAATTTCATATAAAATATTACAAAGAAAAATTAAATGAATCTATTTAACGTACAAATTTAAAATCATATAATAAAGTACACACAACTCAAACAAATATACAAGAAAAAAATTAGTGCAAAATCTGAAAATTAAATAATTCCAAGTGAACTCATTTCAGTAAAAAGATGACAATTCTATTGTAGAATGGTGTTAAGAAAGTTAATTTAAAAAATAACAAATCCCTACATGTTTAATAATAATGGGCATAACTAAAGGCTATATATTCTGTATGATAGTGTACAATTTTTAACTCTAGCCAACAACAATGAAGAAAGCATCTTTCATTTTTTTTAAATATTTGAAAAAGTATGTTTAAGTATTTTAAAGATTACTGTGAAGTAGGTTTTCTTCAAACAAATTTTTTGCATATTATTT